ATTTTGTTAATGCTTACTTTTTTACTTCACAAGTGTGTTGGAATGTCCAATTTATAGAAAAAATGAGTTTTTAGTCATTGAAGAAGATTGAGAAATGGAACTGCATGCTTTTCTCTTTTTAAAGTAGCCATTATAGGCTATCAAGATTAAAGGGATCAATTAGTTCCAAATTTTGACCATTGTAAGTGAATCGATCAATCCATTTTTATAGAGGATCAATTTGTTTTCAGAATGGATCAATCTATTTTCATAGAAGAATGATCCATTTTCAGAGTGGATCGTTCCATCTTATAAGCAATTGATTCATTTTTACAAAATTTGTTTAAGGGACATTCTATACGAATAGTGCATCGAGTACCTTTAAATAAATCTTCTTTTGCACTCTACTTACTAATTTGATCATATGTTGAGTTATACAACTCCAAATCAAGATCCATTTAAGGATTTAGAAGCTAGACTTAAAGGGTTTTCTATCCATATAAAATTCATCATCTATTTCAATGTATAAAAATTATAGTGAATTTCCAAATCTACCTATTGTGTAGTTGTTACACAACCTACAGTCTCTAGTAAAAATTCAAAATCTTTTCTTAAAAAATTTAGATTTATATTTTGTTTGATCCATTAGAAAGTAGACTAAAAAAGCTTTCCATCAATATAAAATTTAAATATTAAAACTTTGTAAATAATATAGAAAAATAAAACAAATTCAATATTGGAAAACTTTGTTCTTACAAAACAACATTCTCAAGTTAATTCATTTCTTAAAACTAATATTATCAAAATTGTATTGAGCCAAAGATGAATATGTCTCAATGTTTCAAGATCATGCACCAAATGATGGGGAATGAGAAAAACCAAGGGCTTAAAAAAGCATTTTTGATAAAAACAAAAATAAAAAGTCGTCACCAATCTTTTTTAAGGTGTGATTAGCCACCTAAAATTTTTGTTCTTTTAATAAAACATTTAAAATTTGATGAATATGGTCCTATTCTAATGCTTAGAAATTAGTTCATTTGTTTTGCAAAACTTGAAATTTTTTCTTTATTTTGAAAACAAATCAACTTTTTCTTTTGGAAACAATGCATTTTATTTTTTATCAAGATGAAAATGTCTTAAAAATTGAGATACATTTTCACTCTCCTATATTTACACTACATGGGAATAGGGTTTTAACGACATTTTTTTTTTATGTTTAGCAGCATTTATAAATGTCATTAAACGATTTGCACAATTTGCCAAAAATACTGCCAAGAGCATATGCTATACCTGTTTTAGGAAAAATAACAGCATTTTAAGAAAAAAACACCTCTAAGTTAACAACATTTGTGTGAACAAACGTCGTTAAATTTAGTGACGTTTTTAAACACAAACGCCTTTAATTTCCTAGTTTAGCGGTGTTTGTGTGAAAAAATACTACTAAATTTAGCAACATTTGTGTTCAAAAATGCTGTTAATTTCCTAATTTAATAGCATTTATCCACACATATGCTGTTAAATTTAGTGGTGTTTGTGCGGACAAATGCCACTAAATTTGTAATTTAATAGCATTTTTAGACACAAAAATTGTAAAATTAAGAAAGTTACTTTTTTTTTTAATTTCTTTCAACATTTACTGCTAAAATTAAATAAAAAATATTGAAAAAAATAAAAGCAAATTTAAATTCATACACTGAATATTATAAATATTTAAATATCTAAGTACATAATTTATTTTAGTTTACATGTAACACAAAGTTTAATACTAACATTCTGTTTTGCATTTGTTTTTCTCCCGCTCATCAATAGACTCCAATGGGAGGAAAGTCACACTTGCTTTGAGTGGTGCCTACAACAGCCATTCCTATTCTCTTGGCTTCCATTGCCAAAGATTTCTCTATGAACCTCAAAATGTGCTATTAGAAATGCATCACATTACATTTCATTTATCTTCTCTACAACTTCATGTCCAAAAAAATGATGAACAATACATGTTCTATCGTGATTGAAAAATGTCATTAGATAAGCTATAAAAAGGAAAGAAGCTATACCACAAAATCTATAAATGCAAGATAAAATACAAGGAAGATATACAAGATCTCACTTTACATACATTTAGAATTAACATACATTCGCTTGACTCTTAACTAATATATTCATATAAAACTTCGTGAACTACACTAATCTATATGAAATCACTTTATCAACTTGCATGTTTCCCAAAACATGGAATAGCATAATCATATCTTTAGTTAATTTGTGAAAACCCGTGGACTCTAAACTTGATGCCACCTAAATTGACAAATTCACAATAGTAAAACCAAATAAGCAAAATTTTCAATTTGCAATATGAGTACAGCAGAATATAAAGAATCAGACAAGAACATATTATGCTTTTGAAAGATGCATATAGTTAACCTTATAACAATTGAGGTTTTAATCATTGAAATCTAGATTCGCATATTGCTCTTATATCATTACTAAATTGATTTCATGAACATTCCTTTTGTTCATAAAGAAAATCAAGCCTATTCTGAATTCGAGTAAAGTAGATGAAATTATTAAACTATTTATGCTAATGAAAATTAATTTCATCAAGAAGAAGGATAAAGTGAAGATTGCACCCCTTTGGAACAAACAGCCATGGCAGAAGCAAAGAGACCATTAGCCTTGTTCAACACATCAACTGCTTCAGGAGTGCAAGGCATATTTGAGCCTACGAAGATCACAATAACACAACTATTAGCTAATATAATTAGTATTAGTATTATTCTTCAGAATGGAAAGATATTAAAATTGTTTGCTTTTCATATCACGGAATTTATGTCTTTGAATAATCTCTGCATACACCAAATGTATAATAGCAGCTCTCAAGAGTTAGTAAAAGAAATGAAATTTAAATTTAAGTGTGGAAATGGCAGTGAAGAAAACACATCTCAAACTTTTTTGTTGAGCTTTGAGATCCCTTAAAAATGATATTTTCAGATAATCAAATCCATCCTCATCAACCAAATATCCCTTTGAATCTGTGCCACATATGAGGCATAGGCAAGCGATTAAAAGATAAACAGCTTATCTCAACTAACTTTTATTTGCCCATATCTTAACTAAGCAGAATGTGAAGCCAACTTTATTTGCTTGCGCTGAGGCTATTATACATCATCTAAGTTCATACCAATATTCATTCTATATAGTGAAGAAGAAATTATAATACACCAACATCACAACAAACAATCACATGTATTTGTATGTTTACTATCTTGAGGATCATTTTACTAAATCAAGTTAAAGGGTAAATAAAGAAAGTGATGAACTAGATATTAAACAATGTAAAAAGAACTTCTTGGCAATAAAGAGAAGAGCCATGAAAATCAAACTTGAATATGATTTTAAGGCACTTTTCTAAATCAAAATAGAATGACTAAAGACCTTCATGAACATTAGAGAAAGACAAGTGATGAGCACCAGGTTAACATAATTAAAACATGTGCTTCTTTTCTTCTGTTTGCTTCAATTTTTTAAAAGAACAGTGAAAGAACCCTCCTTTATATTATCCTTTAAAATAAATTCCTTAAACCCTTTTTCAAACAACACAAGAAAAAATAATTTTTTAGAATTTAATTTTTTTCCTCGAAATTTTCTTAAGAAACAGAGCCTAAGAATCATGCTACATCAGGGATTATATATACAATATGATAATATTTAATTTATAAAAATTTATTATTAATTCATTAATTCAATGATATTAAAAATTACTTAAAATTTAAAATTTTCAAATCAAACTTCAAATCTAAATAATCACGAAAAAATCAAAGGCATTTATAAGAATTTAAGACCAATTCCATTTTGAATTTTAATTCAACTTCAGTAACGAGTACTTGATTCAATTTTATTCAATCTAATATAGTTTTCTATTTTCTTTTCCATCGCAACATTTTTTTGGACTTTGTTACATAAAATATCAAATAATTTTAAATTATTATTACATTCAAATTTTAATGTTATATTTGTCTAATTTGCCTCATCAGTACTTCTACTTTTATATTCAATCTCATTTTCCCACTGTTGTTTACAATCTTGTCCCAGCCAATTTTATTGGCTATGCAAATAGACCTTTCGTGACACTCCGTTGCCCATCACATCTGTTCTTCACTGTATATACCCAAAATAATTAAAACTTGCTTACTTTGAGTCTCCTTTGTCAAATTAATTTTAGCTTTGTTCTGTTATTGAAAAACAAAAGGCAAAAAGAATTTGCTTTCTTTGCAAATTCCAGGTTTGAAAAACAGTTCCAGGTTTGATGTTGGCTTCTGTTTAATTAATTTTGAAGTCAATTTTGGTTTCAATAAATCATGTGTTTTTTTATATGTTGTTCCTCTACTTGTTAGCTTGATTTACAGTGCTTCTTCTTGACCAAATCCTTCCATTTGAGCTAGAAAATTTAATTTTCTTTCAAAGTTGTTTCCAGGATGCAGTTCTGTTTCCAGATTCTGTTTTGTTTCGATTTTTATTACTTTTAAAATTCAATCGGTTCCAATTTGCATCAAGCTTTTTCGTACTTGTTCATCTATGAGTTACCTAAGCTTCTATAAAATTTGAATGCAAAAGTCCATGTATTTTGAGCTAGATCTAAGATTTAATAGGAGTTGTTCTGTTGTGCGAGCTAAAATTCCAGATTCTGTTTTGCTACAGTTTTAGTTAGATTTCAAGTACTAAATCATGTCCAATGCTTTTGCAAATTTATGTCCATGTTCACATATTAGTTAGTTACTTCCACAAAAAATTTGGAAATCAAATAACATCAAATGATAGGGGAAACCGAATTTTAATTAGATGTTATCCAGAATCTGTTTCCAGATTTTGATGTTGCTTTAGGTTATTGTTTCTTTGATTCTTCATGGCTGTTTGGGGGTTGATAAGGATGGTACAAGGTTGCTATTAGGTTGAGCATTTGCCTCGAAGGCGTCTTGTTACTTGAATCAATTGTTTTATCCTTTAAGCTATAATAATAATGAAACTAAAGGAATTTTGTAACAGTCATCACATATCAAGTGCACAGCGACATTATAAGTAATGACTTTTTTAATGTATTCATGTGCAACAAGAATTACCTGATACTGTAATGGGAATAGCACCAATAGCAACAAGCTTTTCCAAAACATGCATTGCAATCTTTCCAAAACTGCTTACAACACATTTGGATGAAGATTCAAGTGAAAATATATTCATGTAAACAATTAAGTGAAACAACTAGCAGTAGTGGACTTCAATATTGCGATAAATCTACTTTTTTGGTATATCAAGTGACAAGTAGTTCTTTGAAAGGAAAAAAAAAAAAGATCATGAGTTATTAACCAACTAACATTCCACATTTTTATATTTGCACATATTAGGCAAAACATTACAAAGAACTACGACTTATAACTCAAGGCAACAATATGCTTTTTGAGTCTAGATAAAAATAAGAATAACAAATAACCTCAGTCCTTTGATATCTTTACTACAAGAATCAGCTAGGCAAAGAAAACTTGTAGAAGCATGAGAACTTTATCAAGTTCCAAGCCATCAGAAAGAGATATATACATGGAAACAACTACACTTACTATAAAGACAAACATTGTAACAATGAAGTAGAAATAGAAGCTTTCAAGGATGCAAAGGTGCAAAGTCAGGCATCTATGCATTTCCCCTCATATTTAACTACCTCCCTACTCTAAAATAGCATTGAGTAGAGATGAGATATTGGTTACCAGCCTATAAGCAGTTGCTTCAGTTTGAAGGCTAGAACCTGACCAAAATATCCTTGGCCTTGTAAAACTTCCTTGCATAAGAAAGGAATAAAATGAAGACATAAAGACCACCTCATAATTTCATTAAACATTGAATTCTTACTAAATAACTTCAAAACCTCTATTTCTCTACCAATTCATAGAAGTAATATAAAGGAAAATTTAGGAATTGTTATAATAGTTAAGATCCTTAAATGACATATCGGCTACAATGTCTACAAGCATAAACGCAAGTCTTCAATTTTTCTAGGAATAGATGGTAGCAGAAAGTGATTTTCAGAAATCAATATGCACACAAACAATTTTATTTCTAAAATTACACATGCATTTGTAAACACGAACAGATGCGCTAAAGTGTCAAAAAAGGGAAACTTTCAAAAACATACACACACACACACATTCAATATCTGGGTAGGTTAAATGTTAGTTTACCCTCTTAGATCTCATAATTTTGGAAATCGAATATTCAAGTTTACTATAATTTCTGATTTTATTCAAATCTTTGAAGTGCAAGTGACCATGTGCATAACTTGACAGGTTTATTGCAGCATACCAGAAAAAAAAATAAATCCATCTTTTTCTTAAACTTGTGGTAATCCAACAACTATGAAGAATTTCAACCTTCAAACTACCTGAAAATGACTAGCTAGATGTCTGTATTGTCCAAAGAGATATCCCATTTCTTGAATATGAACTCGGATTTCCTCCGACAAAAAATCCTAAATTTCAATCTTATATTCTAAACAAAAAAAATTGAAATACCAAAAAAAAAAATTAAAAAGCAAAAGTTATGAAATTAGGTTTACCTTGAAAATGTGAGATTAGACGTTGATGAGAAAAACAAAACGAATGCCTAATCATGCTTAGATCAAATCTAATATTTTTTCAACTGCTCTGCTAAAAGGAATGGCTTAGGTTTGCAAGGAAAAAAAAAGCCTAGGAAAAGAAAGGAAATCATAAAGAAGCAAAAAAGGGATTTAATTTTGGGGGAAAAATTTTAGCCGTGTAATTTCCTCAAAATAATGGCATTTACTGTAAAAAAATGCCACAATTTGCTTTCTAATAGTGGCGTTTTTAATTAAAATGGCACTAAATATCTTCTAAACATTGCATTTTTTTAGTTTGAGATCCAACATAGCAGCGTTTCTAATAAAAAAATACTAATAAAAATTTTATATTTATATTTAATTAATTTATGGATTTTATTTTGAGGCATTTTAGTGGTAAAATGCTGTTAATTTGTTTCTTTAGTGGTGTTTAATAAATACAAATGCTTCTAATTAAATTTTTAGTTGTGTTTTATTTAAAAAAGCTATAAGCCTTATAAAAACATGAAAATTAACAACATTTTTAGGTGAAACGCCGCTAAAAACCTACCACTAATTTTTCATTTTTTGTAGTGTTAGGTAGAGCATCCAAAGCATCTCTAACTTAAGGGATTTCATATTACCCCATAAATCAAGATAACATCTTGCATAAATGATAGCCATGAGAGTCCTTCTATATTTAAGCCAAATCTCTAAGACTATTTTTCACTTGAGATGTCATCTTATTTAAAATCACTTTTCTTTGAAAAACTTTATTTATAAAACCAATGCATATATGCATGAACATAATAATAATATGAATGCATGATGATTGAATATGAATGACAAAGTATAAATGCATGACAATTTAAGAATGCATGTAACAACAAAGTGAAATGAAATACAAATGTATGAATGAGATCAAGTGTTGGTTTTTGGGTTTGAAGGTTAGTTCAGGTTTTTAGGGTTTGGGGTAGGTTTAGGGTCTAGGTTAGGGTTTGGGTTTAACTAGGGTTAGGGTTGGGGTCTAGTTTAAGGTTTTGGGGTCTAGTTTAAGGTTTTGGGGTCTAGTTTAAGGTTTTGGGGTTTGGTTTAAGGTTTAGGATTTGGTTTAGGGTTTAGGTTTATGTTAGAGTTAAGGTTTAGTTTAGGGTTTGGGGTTTGGTTTAGGGTTAGAGTTAGGTTTTAGGCTTGAGGATTAGGATTTATTATTTAGGGTTAAATTTTGGGGTTTAGTTTAAGGTTTTATGGGTGGTTTTGGGTTTGGTGGGTGATTTAAGGTCTAGAATTGGGGTTTAGGATTTAGGGTTTAGGGAATACATGTGATAAAAATCAAATAACGAAAATGATATTGGTAAAAATGTAAATATTGATCTATGTGACAAATGACAAAATTGCCATTGGTAAGAGTGTAAATATTGATGCATGAAAAATGCATGACTAAGGAAAAAACTAATTATAAGTCTAGTAATTTAAAAACTATATTACAAATTAAATGTGCATGTGTAAAATATAATGTAAATGGATCAAACACTAAAATTTTTTTAAACTTTCAAGACATGATCTACCATTTTTTCTTTTGAAATTCAAGCAAATAAACACAAAAATACCAAACAACCTATTAAACTAACATTTTATTCATAGAAAATTTAATCATACCCATTAAAAACTTGAAGAATCATGCAAGAACACAAGCAAGCAAGGATGAATAAACCAACATTTATCGATGAACAAGCTTGGAGGTTTCAGCCAAACATATGAATGGCTTGGCTAAACCTTCTTAAAGCCTTCCACAACCATGCTTTCATTCCATTCAACTCAAACATGCATCAAACATCAAGGTATTCATCATATAGAAGCATTTTAATCGTAAAAGGAATTTCATCAAATATGTAACAAACTAAAATAGTAAGGAAACTATAAAAACAAGAACATTAGCCAAACACCAAACATACACCATTAGCTAATTAACATTCATGCAAAATACAAGTAAACAAATCATCTAATTATCATAAACATTATTTAGAAGCAAGAAAATCATCAAAGGGAACCAAAAAAAGGTATGGCCACGGTGGATCTATGCTTGGCTAAACCTCCAAATGGCTTTAATAGTGGATTTGTTTTTTTTTTTCTTGGTCTCTTGTCTCAAATCGATCTATGGAATAGTTGATTGAGTTTTTATATCAAATTTGAAGCTAATAATAGAAAAAAAAAACTATGAATTTTCTAAAGAAGAAACAGAAAAAAATATAAAAGTGATTTGAAAATGCTATGAAATGTAAGAAAGAAAACTAGAAATTATACTTCCAAGAAAGCTATCCAAAATTTTCTATTTTTTTCTTAATTTCTCCATGTTTTTGGCCAAATCCCAGCTCCTCCCCCCTTTTCCAACCTGGCATCCTAACCTTCTAATTGGTGAAAAAATATCACATGCAAATGAATGTAAGACCTTAGATCAAAACTTCATCTTATGGTTAAGATTCATTTTTTTTTTAACAAAAAGCCACTTTCACCATTAGATCCAGTCCCTTAAGATCATCCCATGGTTGAGTATGCTTATTACCAAAGATTGGATTTTTAATGCAGTTAGAACCAAGTGAAATGACCATTTTATCCCTCATTAAAAAGTTTTCCATTTTTAGGCTATTTTCTTGGAAAACAATACTACACTCTTTATTTTCATGATTTTAAAGCACCAAAAATAATGAAATAATATAAAATTAAAATCTTAATGTTTTAGTGAAAATTTCACCTTGGAAAGGTAAAATTATGAAATTATCCACAAAGAGTATTTTAATAATTTCATATTTCTTGAGGTACTACCAAGGTTTTTAATGCTCCAAAAATCATCAAATAATTTAAAAACATGATTTGAAATGTTTCGTGAAAAACCAACCTCGAAAAGGCTAAATTATAAAAATACCTCTAAAGCATATTTTAGTGATTTTACATATTCTGAGGTATGATCAAGGTTTTCAATATTAAAAAAATCATCAAATAATATTAAATCATGATCTAAAGCTTTTAATGCCCTTAAAGATATTTTAGTAATTTTGCACTTTCAAGGTGTGATTAAGGCTTTTAATGCACCAAATATCATTAAAAAATATTTAATTATGACATGGAAGTTTCACAATAATCCTATTTTGAGAAGGCCAAATTACGAAAATACCCTTAAAAGGGTATTTTGGTAATTTTATATCTAGAAGTGCAATCTTGTTTTTTAATGCTTTAAAATAACAAATTTCAATTCCAAGCCATATTGATTCCAATTGGTTATGAATTTTGAAATTTGACCCAAGTTCTATCCATTTTCACTAATTTTGACCAAGTTTGATCTTGAGGTACTTAGATTTGCCTATACAAAATTATGTGTTTACAGCAGCCCTTCTTTGTATATTTTTGAGAATTAAAAATAATGCAAAGACTAAAGACACTGATTTTGTTCGAGACCAAGGATTCACAAAGTAAATGATTCACATAAAAGATTCTAGATTTACAATAAAGTAAATAATTCATAGATTGAATGACTCTAGATTCGCAGTAAAGTAAATGATTCACAGCTTGAAAGACTCTAGATTTACAACAAAGTAAACGATTCACAATTTGAAAGACTTTGAGTTGACAATAGAGCTAATGATTCACAGCTTGGAATACTTGGGATTTATAACAAAGTAAAAGAATAAACACATTTGGAGGACTTCGGGTTCACAATAAAGTAAACAATTCATAGTTTGGTTCAAAATATTTGCACACATGAATTGAAAGATTCATAGATGATTCAATGATTCATATATAGGATTAGAAAGTGTTTCAAAATTAAAAAATTTCAAGATTCACAAATGTTTTAGGATTCATAAGAGTTTAAAGATTTGTAAGTGTCAAATGATCACAACTTTCAAAGATGCATAAGAACCCAAGATTCATAAATTTCAAAGATTTGCAAGGACCAAAAATTTACAAACTCCACAAATTTGTAAAAGTCAAGGACTTGTAAATTTCAAAGTTTTGCAAGAGAGGTTAAAGATTCACAAATTTCAAAGATTCACAAGAAAGGTTAAAGATTCATAAATTCCAGAGATTCACAAATATAAATGATCAATCATTAGGATTTGGAATGCCAATAGGTTGTACTATGATGCGTATGCAAGTGTCCTAAGGCAAAGGCATATGTTTTTTTAAAAATGTACATGCAATAACGCAAATACCCTTACAAGGATACAAATGCTTATCCCAATGATACAAATGTTTTTTGCAACTATAGAATTTTATTTCAAAGATGCCAATGCTTATACAAATGCAAAAACTTCATGATATATATGCTTTAACATGGATGCGAACATAAAAAATGCTCTTTTTTTTTTTTTTTAAATCTTTCTCAATTCTATTTATTTCCTCTTACCCATCCAAATAAACCTTTAACTTCTTCCTAAAAAAATCTTAACTTACCATTATCCTATTTATTCGTCCATTTCATCTTGCTTCTTTACCAATTTCTACCAGGCTTTTTTAATTTCCTTTCATTTACAACATGTTTTCCTTTTTATTTTCAGTTTCAAACATACAACATGCAACATGCATTTTGGACTTGATTTTAAAAATAAGAAGACAACTTATACATTTTTCTTTCTTAAATCTAAATCGGTCTAAAGATTCACACAATTTATTCATCTTTTTTGCCAAACATGATTTTCTTATTTTACACAAAAATATGTAATTGGTTATTCAAAAGTATTTTCAAAATGATCAATAAATTTTACCCCATATAATTAAATTCTTTAGTTAAAGAAAATGAAATATCTGAACAAATATGACTTTCAGAGTCTTTTAGAAAATTATGTTCCTTATAAGAAAGGAAAGAGGTAGCAATTTTTTTTTCAACGAATTGGATTTTTCAGCACATCAATGGTCTATTAGTTCAAAAAGGCTTTACCATTTAAAAGGCACATAAGAGGCATATACTTTTCAATGTAGGCACACAAATGAAACATAAGTTTTTCTAAAAAGATGAATCCCTTAAAAACCAAACATGTTCGACACTCTTTTTAGTATCCAAATGTGACATTTGATATATGTAAAGTTAGCTGTGATAGGCTTAAAATTTTAGGAGGTTACTGAAGGATGAAGAAAAAAGGCTCAAATTTTCAAAATCAATCACTTTTTACACATGTCAAGCTTTTACAACCTTGATTTCTTTAGATCTTTCAATGGGTTTAGGTTGCCATTGGTTAGTATCTATCTTACTTAACATCAAGAATGGCTTTAAAGCCTTTAAGA